TTGCAAAATCAAATGTTATTTTCTCTTATGTGCAAAACGAATTGTCAAAGTTGCAAAAATCGTTGGAATGGAGAAATGAACATCAACAAATGTGAAGGTTTATTTGTGATTTTATCTTTTTAATGTTCATCATGTAACAATACCATCACCATTGGTAAGTAACTACTTTAGACTATCGAAATTGTATGCATATTATTAATACGTGCAACATTTCTCTCTAATTTTTTCAGAAACAAGTCCGAAGGTTGTTGGATCAGATCATCGAGATATTAATGTTCGATCACAAATTGGTGGCCATTTGTGTGGTATTAGATATGCTGAATTACCAAAATTAATGGGTGCTATGAATTTACCAAGTCCAATTCAAGAACAAATATATTCAAAATGGGATAAAAATTTATTACTTTCAATAAAATCATTTTCAAACCGATCTATGACAAGAGCTGTTAATGAAGCTGTGACTGCTGTAAATGGTCGAGAATTAATGGTTAGTGGAGATGGATTTTGGCAGACCTGAGGTTTTCAAAGAGGCATGGTGCAGCAGCTCTTCTTTCTTGTAACACAACACCAGAAGTACTTGATATTGAAACATGTAGTAAAACATGTAATGTTTGTATGGGTGAGTTTCTCCTTTTGTTGTTTTCTTGATGACATCTTTTCTTTTAGGCGCACTTGCTATTAAGAAATCTAATCCAGCTAAATGCAATGATGTTATTAGATCACATCATTGTGAAAAAAACTACAACAAAAGTTCCGGTACAATAGAAGCTCATGCTGTTCTTAACATGTTCAAACGATCAGTATCTAAATATGGAATTTACTACACAAGTTACGTTGGTGATGGCGATTCAAAAACATTTACTATTCTTTCTAACGAAACACCATATCCAGGTATAATATAATCTATTTTATTTCAAAAAAATATTGTGTTTTATATTGAAACACTATCAACATTTTTATTTTTTTTAGGGAAAGTGATCAAGAAAATCGAAGACTTGAATCATTTTAGCAAAAGAATGAAACGTCAACTGGAAACAAAAAAACGTGAATATGAACGACAAACATTATCTGATGATAAAACAATTGGTGGTAAAAGTCGTCTTTCCAGTAAGTCTTTTTAAGACAGGCAGAAATTTGCAAACGAAACAAATGGAAAATCTGAATGTTTTTTTTTATATTAGGTCAAAATATCATCCGGTTACAACTGGCATTTGCTTCTACCGTCCGAAAATGCAAACACGATCTGAATTTGTTATATCAGCGATCGTGGGCTATATTTTGGCATAAATATTCAACCAATGATGATCCTCGTAACGATTCTTGCAGCATCGATTAGTGTGGTTGTTTAAAAGCTGCTCGTGATGGAACACCATATGATCATACACCATATGCTTTACCTCGTCCTGTCCTCGATGCCATCAAGCCTGTTTTTGACAACCTCTGTTCTCGGAAAAGTCTTGCATGTGTAGTTGATGCATCAAGTCAGAATGCAAACGAAGGTTGTCATTCGCTTGTCTGGCTTATGTCACTAAAACACAAGGTATCATCTGGAACAACACTTGAAATTGCATGTCATCTTGCAATAATAATATTTAATGATGGATATTTTGCATTAGGTAAGACGATACAAATATTTTCAGAAGCTTTTTTAATTATAATTGAAATGTTTGATATTTATTAAATAAAAATTTTAAAATAAAAATTTGTTTTACTTTTGCAGGAGATCTTTTCAACAACATCTGTGGTTATCGTGGTCATTACACCGATCAAGCAATGATTCACTTCGACAGCAGTCGTCTTCATACAGAATCAAAAGAAGATAATAGAAAAAGAAGAAAAGAAGCTGATCATGTTGTACAACAAAATGAAGATAATAATGGTCAAGCAAATTATAGTTATAATGCCCTCGGTGATGATAATGATAAAAAAATTAATAGTCATGAACAAACAGATGATGATTATAATGAAACAAATCCTGGTGATCAACTAACATCTGAAGATAAGGGTGTGGGTGTGGGTGTGGGTGTGAGTATTGGTGTGGGTGTGGGGTGTGGGTGTGGGTGTGGGGTGTGGGTGTGGGTGTGGGGTGTGGGTGTGGGTGTGGGGTGTGGGTGTGGGTGTGGGTGTGGGTATGACAGAATGGAATAACAACACCCACACCAGACCCACACACCCACACCCACTCCCATACCGACACCGACACCCACACCCACCGACACCCACACCCACACCCACACCCA